CATCATCATCATCATCATCATCATCATCATCATCATCATCATCATCATCATCATTATAATTATATTTATTGTTATCTTTGTCAGTATAATTATCTTTCTTAATGAAGGTACGTCGAAACGAGCTTCGCTGATCGCTGCTTTCTTACGTCTTACTCAAGGGAAGTGATAGATTATAAGATGGATGGAGTTTAGGCCTAATTAAAAGGCGTTCAAGGGAGCGGACCTCTGTGCTCTATACAAAGTAAACAAAACCTAAGTGTGCATATACATCTTTCCAAGCATTCTGACTTTGTAAGAAATGACAATAAGAACACCACTGCTGCCTTTACTTGCCATCCTTCAGTTGATTCAACAAGTCGGTTACAGAGTCTTTTGAACGCCAACCTGGAAGACGGGAGACACTGATTCTACTTAATCGCTCCGAGCATTTCTTCAGGACTTGTTTCCATGTTATCTATTGGCCTCCATGTGGTTTCTTCCAACCTGGAGCAGCAAATGCAACTAAGGCGCAGAACGGTAGACGATAGCCGGGTATGCAACAGGCTAAATGGATTAATATAAATAGCCTGGTATAAGCGAAGAAATCTCTGCGCTTGATCAGAATGGATATCAGTTCCTTGATTGAACGTAGGTCCAGCGTACAACAGGACAAGCTATTGGACCAAGTAACTGAAACTGTTCGCTTGATTATGAACTCATGCTCCTAGACACACCTTCAGAGCAGGTTAGAAGATAAACCGCTTCGGCTGCTGTCCAGTGTAGTCGCTGGTTGTTGACTCATCGCTTAATGGGAATAAATACAGTCGACTTATTCTACTTCAGACAAATCATCGCTTGTTCCTGTTCAGTATCGAATGGCGACAAACAGTTGAACAGAAAGCGAAATGGAGTTTGAGTTCTACAGGTAAGTTGAGACCACTCCAAATGAAGGCAGCAAGTTCAGGTAAATTAAAAAAAAAAAACGTATTCGTCCAATCCAGTTTAAATTTTTACAAAGATTAACCGTGCTCTCCAGTGCGCCGATTTTGGTTTCTGTCTCATGACTTCCCATTTGACCGGGGCAATAAAGGGAAGAGTGAAATGTTCAACTCAGTGTCTTCCGCGGTGGTCAGAAGTAGCTGATGGATTGAGCGTCATCGATGCATCGGAGGGCTTTG